ATGACATATTCTTATTTTTAGTAATAAAATACAATAGTGGCTTTCATACAATACAATTATTTAAGTTTACTTTAAATTATACTTCTATAAATACACGAAAATACTTATACATATTTATTTATTATAATAAATTCAGTAAGATTTTGTAATATCAAATAAAAGTAACTCTCACCCTTGTCCAAAGATGCTTGGATATAACACATCCAATTTTTTGTAGGTAGTATGAGTCTATCCCACGTTCAATCCTTTTGACGATTTGAAGCTTTTTTCATCTTTGATAGGTCAAAAATTTTGTTGGTAAAGCTGAGATAAACTCTCGGTTGTTAGGTTTTTGGTTTACATCTGTGAAACCAACAGATTCGTTACTACTCAAAGGTTCTGTCATTGCCGCCGCTGTATGTAGTCTTTAGTTAACTATGAGTGCTGAACATCTCTCTGTAAGGTAGAAAACGCCAAAGACAATTATGAAAGTGAGGCATCAACCGAACTAGAAAAAAACTAAAATAAATTACAGGTATAGGTACAATAAAAAATCGATAGAAAGAAATTTAAAAGATCTACATCCCTAATAATCTGTCAAATCGTATCCAATCAAATCGCCGAGTTGCTCTTAAACTCACTGCGGGTATTGTGTATTTTTTCTATGAATCCTACCTAATAAATCATCGACTTTACTCTTAAGTTCAATGTGGTTATCAATTCCCAGTGGTATGTGAATAGTAATCCAGATTACCACGATATCTCGTGATTAAAATTTGAAAAGTGGTAGGAATACAATTAAATAATGCAGTTATAAATAAAGATGCATAAAGGAATATTGTTCAGATAGTATTGATACTCAAGAAACTGTAAAATCGTGGAAAAGGAAGAAGAAAAAGCATTTTTCTATTGCTTCTTCCGAGTTTGCTGCTTAATACGATTTGGGTTATGTGGATTTCTCTTGTGAAAGCAAGAAAATAGTAACCATTCTATGAAGTTTTTCAATGGAACCTGCGATATTAAACTGATTACAGGTATTAAACGCCAGTACAAATGTATGTAAGTAGTAATCCAGATTACCATGACAAAAATTACTCTCTTGTCATTTGAATTGAATTGCACCTTAAAGATTAAAGAACGACAGCAACAAATAAAAATTAATAGAGGAAAATTGTTCAGTAAATATAGGTTCTTAAAAACTTATTTAACTGTGAAGAAAAGAAAAGTTTCCGGGGTAAGTTCTTCGTAAAGTACTAAACAAACGACAACGCTCAGTGCTTCGCTTTGTTGATGGGTCAGAACCAAGTCACCTTATTCTATTAAAAATAAGTAGCCTGTAAAAGCCATTATTTATTTATAAAATAAGTAATATTGTCCAATAGAACTTAAGAAGAAATTAATAAACTTTTTTATTCATTATTTATATAGATGTTAGAACAAATTTCTATAATGGATTGATTGAATTAAAAATTATGTTTAAACTACTAATACTAATAAATGTGTTATTTAAACATATGCTCAATACAAAATAAAATTTATATGATATCTCCTGTGTTCTATTGTAGTTTGAGCTCACAGCACCAACGACATTTCAAATAAGTTAAAAGTGTATGTTATTTACATATGAATAGGATCTTACAACTTCCTGCTAGATTCCTAAGAACCGACTTGAAATAAATAGATATGTTAATAAAAAGTAGCACATCCTTTATATATCAGAACGCATTTATATCCTTGTGACATATATATTGGCTGACACATTATTCAAATTCATAAAATTTCATAAATTTTCTTACCACATTTGTGAGATTTTTATAGTAGAAAATTGCTCATGTGTTGCAACGATTTACATAAATCCTTAAAAATTTTGAAAATATTGTGCACGTCCTCCTGCTATGTCCTTATTTTATTTATTTTATTAACAACTTTTTGCATTTAAATAATATTTTCTTCATTATTTTTTTTTTTGGTGTTATTACTTCGTACCTTTGTGAATACATTCACACGCCGAAAAGCAGTAAACTAAGGACATCACTGGAATACTAAGTGTTTGTATCCTTAAACACGCTACACATTACACTCTACACATTACACTCTACACATTACACGGTACACGTTACACGTTACACGTTGTGTGTTTTACATGCACACAATATTAAAAGTAGTGAAATGCAATGAAGACTTCATTTGTATGAAAAACTGTGGAAATGTGTCGGTCGGTGTTGAGCATAATCTGGACATTTCTGCAGGTGTTAAACGTTAATGAGATTTTACTTACCATATACGTGCATGACTGTTACAATATTAAAATTGTTGTA